ACACGAACACATCCATTTTCTGTCACTTCAACTGACTTCATAACCGATCTTCCACCATCCAAGGGTTTTGATTCAATCATGGTCATGGTAGACCACGCCCTAACGAAGGGGGTAATTTTGGTGCCATGTCACAAGACGATCGATGCAGAGAAGACTGCTCAAATTTTTCATGAGAATGTCTACAGACGATTTGGATTACCCGATACCATCATATCTGATAGAGGACCTCAATTTGCGTCAAAGGTATTCCAAGAAACGTGCAAGCTGCTAGGCATCAAATCCAAGCTCAGCACTGCTTATCACCCTCAAACCAATGGCGAAACTGAGAGGGTCAACCAAGAACTGGAAACCTATCTGCGGATATTCTGCGCCAACAATCCCAACGGATGGGCTGAAGGACTCTGTGATGCGGAATTTGCTCACAATCAGCGATCCCATTCAGCCAGGAATGAATCACCTTTCTACCTCATGATGGGTTATCATCCACGAGCAATACCCGCAGTCACAATCAATATGGAGCTACCATCAGTAGACGAAAAGCTTAAACGATTACAAGCTGCAAGGGAAGAAGCGATCGCCATGCACGAATTGGCGCGACAGAAGATGATCGATAGAAGCCAACAAGGATTCACCCCATTCGAAGTTGGAGAGAAGGTTTGGCTAGAAGGCAAGAACCTACAGATCAATTACCCATCCAGGAAGATCGCCCCAAAACGTGAAGGACCATTCAAGATCAAGGAAGTTCTAGGCCCACTCTCGTACCGCCTAGACTTACCCAAATCCTGGAAGATTCACCCTGTGTTTCATCCCTCGCTCCTTTCACGTTATCAGGAGAACTCCACTCATGGGCCAAACTATCTTCGACCACCACCTGATGATATCGAAGGTGAAGAAGAGTATGAAGTCGGGGCCATCTTAGCCCATCGTGGGAGCACTTCTCACCACAAGTACCTTGTCAAATGGAAAGGATACCTGTCGGCCCAGAATTCATGGGAACCCTAGCATGTGCTTGAGAATGCCAAGAGCCTGCTTCAAGAATATAAAAGTCGTAACCATCTCTAGCAGGACTCACCCAACCAGCGACGCATACCACGTCTCACACCCAGGAATGATTCGTATACCTTCACCTCTTCACAACTGCCCCTATGATCAAGACCCCACTTTATCAGTATCGTCCACCAAACCTTGATGGAACACTACCACGACCCATCCCTTCGAGACGACTAGAACGAGATGCATTGGGAGCAGGTGTTGCCAGGGAGATATTGGAACTAGAGGACGATCTTCAAACAATCTCCAAGTTGTGTGACCTGAATGCACAAATACAAGATCTACTCCAGTCCACTTACAACACTATGGAG